AATTTGTATATATATATATATATATCGTATATATATATATATATCATGTTTTATCCTTTCTCCGAACATTTAATCTTTTTATACATTTCGATATCTTAAAGTATGTGTTTCTTTTTATAGATGCAAGAAGTTACCGACTCTCTTGGCGATGGTGATGAAGAATCTTCTTCGTTGAATAACGCACAAGAAGAAAATTTAGAAGCAAGTAAAAATGGGACGAGAGATGCCTCTAGTCAGGAAGATGGCGAAGCTCCTAGCGAATCTGATTCCGATGATGATGTACATGTTGTTATTGGTGATATCAAATCAGCACCAACATATGGTAATTTAAATATCAAAAGAGGAGGATTGCTAACAAATACATCTGGTGTATCAGACAAATTGAACAAACAGCCAGGAAAGTTCAGTATAGATGAATTTGAAACTATCGGCGTGATCAATGGGATACCAGCCCATGAGTTTAATTTAGATCAATTGGAAGATAAACCATGGAGACAACCTGGTGCAGATATCACAGATTATTTCAACTATGGTTTCAATGAAGATACCTGGAGAGCGTATTGCGAACGTCAGAAGCGAATGCGAAGCGAGTCTGGAGTGGGATTGGTCTTAAATGCGGGTAGCGGTAGTGGTAATCCAAGTGGCATGAGAATGCCTCAAGTGGCGATAACCAATGACAACAGCAAATACTCTGGCATTATGGGTCCTAAGAGAGCTGGCCCACCACCTGGAAGGAAAATGGCAGGGACTATAGATGTTATAGGAAGTTCTGGTTTAGCTTCTAGAAGAAATCTGGATAAATCCCCACCAAAGGGAAATGTTATACAAGTTATGACTGCTGACAGAAGAGAGTATTCTAGAAAACCAGGTTTTCCTGACATGAGTGTACCACCTCCTGGAGCAGGAATGCCACCACCGCCATTTGATATTCCTCCACCAGGATATGCTGGAGAACCGACGCCATTCTATATGCCAGAAACTGATCCATATTATCAGAGTTATGAACCTACACAAGACAACCAATGGGGCAATGACCCAGTAAGAATTGTACAATATAAACAATTTACGAAAATAACATTATCGAAATTATTTAATGTTATATGACTTAAAAACTACACACACACACACACACACACACACAAAACATAAGA